AAGAGAATAGATTTACTTCTCCCGAAGCAAAGTTAAAACTAAAATGGTTTTACTACCAGTTCTTCCACTTTTCCGTCTCGCTTTCACCCATGGCCTTGGTATTCGCGAAACTTTACTTCGACTGAAAACAAGTCCACTGTTAAACAATTTCGCTACCATTGCTTTTTTTTTCTTTTCCGGAGTGCTAACAGCTCTGGTTATACAGAAATGCCAACTTTCTCCGCTTTGTAAAATAGTATTTTCCAATGGTAGCGAAATTTAAGTTACTTTACGCTTAGTATTTTTCCTTTTAAGTAATTTTTTCACCACTAAATATCAAAAATTATAAGTATCATATCAAAAGCAATGTTAGAGCATCAATCTACCGGTTACTATATTAAAAAGTAGGCGTAAATATCCTTCTCTAACGAATTTTACCATATAATTAGCTACCACTTTATTAAAACTATTCCAGAAAGCGGAGCAGCTGGCATCCCTGGTTATACTTTGCTGTTATAAACTATCAAGTCTACGGACAACTGCTCCGCTTTGTGCAATAGTTTTAATAAAGTGGTAGCGAATTATATAGTAAAATTCGAAAAAGAAGGATAGTTACGCCTACTTTTTTAAAGAGTAACCAATATATATATATATATTGTTTAACACGTTCACGCCGGGGTGAACCACCGGTGGGTCATGCTAGATTGCCTCATCGGGCGGCGCACCGGAGTAAAAACTGGTAACAAATAAATTTCATTTTTTAGTCTTTTTCCAAGAAGAAGAATAATCCTTAACTACCAATTGTTTTTAACGGATGCAATTTTTATATTAGCATGGTATATCTGAAAAATCTTTAGCGTGGCATATCTGAAAAAAGTGGTGAATTATATATGCCAACGATCTGTTTAAAAATAGTGGTGATAAAAATCTACTAAATTGAATTTACCAAACCCAGAATCACAATATTTAAGCAAAATTTGAAGAAATTTTCAGCAATTCCATAAAAGAGTGTAAATTTTATAGTTCTATGTCATGTTATACGCTGTCAGTCGGCTGTTTTTCGCGGCCTATGTGAAAGGTCAGTGTCAGCAAGCGGTGGCAGACGCAGCCTCAATGTAATTTTAGTGTCAGCTACCGGTGGTTGACGCGGCCTAAATTGAAAGCCCAGTGTCAGCCACCGAGGACTGACGCGGCCTAAATTGAAAGCCCAGTGTCAGCCACCGAGGACTGACGCGGCGCTAAACGTGCTAACTGAAGTAGCGACTAAGGCCGGATTTTTTTAGACCACTCGACCTCTTACAGAACCTTTATCAATATTTCTGAGCACAGCTAATTCTCTAAGATGGCCAGTTCCTTCAATATATTTATTTAAATTATTTAAATATAGTGATAGTATTAATTCTGCCCAAACGTTCAGACCAGGAAAGTACACGCCTCATTTTACTGTAATGGAAAAGATTCTTTTTATAAATGGAAACGGTAGGACTTTTATCATTTATGTCTTTTTTCGAATAATATGCTATTTTCATAACTGATGTTAGTTTGCAACAATTGCTCGTGATTATTAGGTCATGTTTAACCAATCTTTATTCAGGGTCTTCTATGTTTATCCTGAAAATGGAGCAAAATGGAGAAAAATCACAGTTTTGACAAAGTGTAAAGCATTTGTGGTCTAATTTTCTAATATTTAAAAACTTATTCCAATACTGCATTATCTGAACTTATAAAACATCCATATATAAAAAATCGAATATATAAAAAATCGAAATTTGGCATTCATTTTGATAATTTTCCTTTAATTGGAAAAATGTCGCCAAATTGGCAATTTTTTTTGAAAAAAAATTATTAACTTTTAAAATATTTTAGTTATTTTTCCGTTCTATAGCTCAGATAAATCTTTACGTCAATATGCCATATACAGTTTAAAACTATAGCTTTGCCTCAAGTGTAAGGAACTTAAACTGTGGCTTATTTACTTTTATTGGTGAAAAGTCTTTAAGAAAGCTTGTTGAGGATACACAGCAAAGATGGCGCAAAGTAGCATGTGCACACATATTTAAACTTGTTACAAAAATTTTCTCCGGAACTAAGAGTTACATCAGATATAAGGCTTCATTCCTTACCACTTGTGATAAGACATTTGACATTACATATTCATTTCCTATCCTTTAAAATGTCTTTGATTTTTAAGCTTATTTTTATTAATCGAATAATATTTAAAATTAAATCAAATACTTAAATTTTTAAAATGAAAATAAAATAGTTATTATTTTTTTATAGATCAACATAACGGATACTTTTTATTTCATTACTAATGCAGACTTATTAATTTACTGTCACGCCTAATCGAAAACAAAAATCTATTTATAACTTTTTATTCTAAATTTCTAACAGCTAAATGTTTCAGTTGCATGGTTGTAATAATTCTTTCAAATTTGTTGGCTGCTCGTGATCGCTAAGGTATTTTTTAAACCCATTATTGAAATGCGGGGTTGGCTTTGATTTGGCTGTGTTATATTTTGATAATTCGCCAATTTTGGATCTCCTACCCATGCTTCTCCTGCGTCCGTTAGGAACAGGGGTGAAAGCGAGACAGAAAAGCGGAAAGGCTGGTAGTAAAATCTTTTCAGTTATAGCTAGTTTTTGAGAGGAATTTCCTTGTTCCATTTTTAAACTCTTCAACAATGTCTACTTTTTATTTGTTTTATTGAAATTACATACATTTGCAGGCTTACAAGCCTTTGTCTAGTAGAAAGACAGAACAATTCAGAGAAGGACATCACGAAGAATACATTCCGCTACCTCCACGCTTTGCACAGCATTTGGCCGGCGATACCGCTCTGACAGGGAGGCCCCTACTTTCTTTTGGAACAGAAGCAGTTTCATATATATGCATAAATTATAAAAGAAATCTTGATAGTTACAGATATTTTATTTTTTCGAAAAAAATGCTGAAATGAATTGTCTTACGTACCAGTATTTTCTCTTTTCCGTCTTGTTATATATGGGCTTTCAATCATGGTTAGGAATCGTTGCGTTCAATTTTAAGTTCAAATTGGTAACGACTGGGAGTGCTCTTTCGGACCTCCCCAGTCTCAATTTCTAACTGTCAGAAGTTATATTCTCACTGTATGATCTCTACACGTGACAGTATTCCGATTTGATCCCTTTAGAGGATTTTCTTTTTTTTTTTGTTTAGATGCTGAAAATGGCCATTATCTATCATACCAATTCTGCTAAATAAATAAATTTTTCACTAAACGATTTATATTAATTTTCTGGAGACAAGAATTCTGTTTCATCCATTTATTAACACTTTACCGACCGGCCGTCGATTAATCGATGTTTTGTTCTCAGCGCATACCGACCGGCCGTCGATTAATCGACGTTTTGTTCTCATCGTATACCGACCGGCCGTAGATTATTCAGCGTTTGCTCCCCAGCGCTTACCGACCGGTCGTCGATTAATCGACTTTTGACCGATCTGTGGTGACTACGTTTTCCACCAATTCAGCATGCAGGGATGCCAACTGCTCCGCTTTCTGGAAAAGTTTTAATAAAGTGGTAGCAAATTATATAGTAGAGTTCGTAAGAGAAGGATAGTTACGCCCACTTATTAATATAGTATCCAGCAGAATATTGCTGCAACGTTGCATTTCACATGATACTTATAATTTTTGATATTTAGCGGTGAAAAAATGACTTAAACTGAAAAATACTAAATTAAATAAAATACTACGGACGATCTGCAGCTGAACGGGCGGTGAAAGGGCATAGTATGTTCGAACCGCTACCGGTCGGTAAAGTGTTAACTGCCAAAAAGAACAATAATGAAGATATGTTCTACTGTCAACCACTAATGGCGATGACTGCCTCCAAACCACTTTTTATATAAAAACTCTATTAGCATCATTGCCGTATTCCAATAGGGCGTGTTCTTACGCGGAAGAAATTCTCGGCTGGATCTAAGATTGAATTCCAAGCACAACTGAAAGCCTCCACACGGTTTTCTATAGGTAGTCGGATCAGATCACGGTGATCGATATCCACTTACCGAACGATTCATTTAATACAGAATATAGTTAAAATAAGAAAGTGGTAGCAAATATATGATTAAAGATTTATTTTATTTATGAATATTATTGGCTTGCCTTATTCACTTGTCAACCACTACAGAATCAATTCTCAAATATATAAGATAAATTTCTCTCAATTCATTTTTTAAAAGGTTTTGGGTTCATGCGCCCAACTGGTTCACTTTTTAAACAGTCTGCGAGGACTACTTATAAAAGACCGTGTGGAGGCTTAACTGGTAGGGAATCAAGGCAATGTCCATGATGCTCAGGGGATTTGCCTCCCAATGAGGCAAACCGGGTTCGAATGTAATACGAATTCCACAAAGGGCTCACACTGACCACAGTGCTGACATAAAGTATCCTCAGTGGTAGACGGATCATGGGTTAGAACATCACCTCCTACATCAGAAAGACTCCACACGGGATTTTATACGTCGTCTGCGCAGATTATTTAAAAAGCGAACAAATTGCGCGAGTAAACCCAAATTCTATTTGAAAAGTACTTGAAAGAAATTTATCATAAATATTTGAGAATTGAATCTGCAGGGGTAGACAAGAAAATAAGACAAACCATATTAATAAATTAAAAAAAATTTTAGACATATATTTGCTACCACTTTCAAATTTTTAATAGATTTTCTATTAAATGGCTCTTTCGTAATCTGGTTTACCTTCATAGTGGTCTGATCGGACTACTTATAAAATGTACAATGTAATACAATGTAATGCAAATACGGGTTAGTTCAATCGAAAAGATCTCAACGAAAATTGGATCGGCTGTTCAACCTCGGTTAGAAATATAAATAAAATTTCCACTTATAAGAAACATATTACGGTTAGGACTTTTTTGTAAAGTCATTTCTTGATTTTATTCATTCCTAAATGAAATCTCTAATTTCTTCTTTTTTTAAATCAGAAATAAGCAACAAAAATCTTGGTTTATATTTTTTTAATCAATCAATCAATAATAGAAATTAAATAAACATTAAATACGTTAAAAAAATTTTTAACATAGAAGGTTATAACACATTTAGAAGTTTCGGAAAGTATTTTTCAACAAAAAGGTTTATAGTACATTTAAGAGAATACTTATCGTTCAACACATAATGCAAACTAGTGGGTTCTTATGTTCAAACTTTTTAGCGACATAAAGCATTTTGTTTTAATTTTTTTTTTGTAAACTTGCCGTTTTATGCAAAAAGTAATGATACTTGCAAAAGTATATGCCAGAATAAAGATTATGATAAGAAATAAGACCTCCACAAATTTAAGAATTTCTGAAATTAAATGATAATTATTATTTCAAAGTTATTGATAAGTATAAAATTTAAAATTAATAAATGATGAAAAGCTTAGTGGATGAAGTAGGTAAGTGCCATTTTTAGGGGTATTTATTAATCAGTGTAAAAAAAGAATTTTTCTCATCAGTCTGAGCATGCTTAATGTAACAGTATTGTTTTTGCATTTACTTTAACTATATTATTTACTAATTCACATTTATATGCTTGCATGATTTTTATTTCTAATTAGACAGTTGGGAATAAAATAAAACACTGAATTATTATCATTGCCTTCAAACAAACCTATAATACAATAGTTTGGATACTAATTTTTATTCGTCCTGCCCTAATAACAGCTACTTTGAAAATGACACTTATCTGGATCATCGGCATCAATTATTAAATTAATTATTAATTTTAATTCAAATATTGTTTTATTTTAAATTATTACAATGTATTTACAAAAAATATAACAATTGATTAAAGCATAAAACTCAAATTAATAAAAACAGTTTTAATTCTCACATATAAAGAATGTATATTCAAATAAAATTCATTCATGAACTAATTATAGCTTAGTTCCATAATGACTATTTGCTGTACAGTTCTTCTTTTTCCTTGGGTAAGTAGAGTAATTATTTTATGAACAATTTTACTATTTTTACAAAGAAATGTTATTATTTTCTAAATGAGAATTTTCATCAGATATTTCAAGCTTTAATGCAAAGCATATACAAAAGCATAGCTCTTAAATATAAAAAAAGATAAGAAATAATTAAATTACTAAATACTTTGCGTTAAATAACAAGTGCACCTTCAAAACTAATTGCATCTTTTAGACAGATTTTAATTGGGGAAATGAAAATTAATTTTTCTATGTGTGGGAAATTTTATAGTTAGTTTCGAAGATAGTACTAGTACTCTATGTCATTAAACTTATTGTGAAGCGTTTTCAAGCTCAGGTATGATGTTTTCCTGATCAGTTTATTTGCGTATGCAATTATCAACTAATATTGACTAAAGATACTTATCGCTTAAAATTTTTTGAATAGAAATATTTTTTTTCCTATAAGAGAAGATTTGTAAGAATAGTATTTACAAACTTTGAATCTGAGATGGATTGTCTGTTAAACTATAACTAATACAACTGCTGAAGATAAGGATTCATAAGTATTTATATGATAGAATTATAATAGTTCATACATTGAATTCCATATTTTCATCATAATAATTCATAAAACTTATAATACTGATTTAATTTGTAATAATGATTCTGTATTTTCTTATAATGATTTATAAAATTTTAATATTGATTTCATTTTATATTTCCATGATGATTCATAAAAAGTTCAATACTGATTTCATTTTATATTTCCATGAAGATTCATAAAAATTTCAATACTGGTTTCATTTTATATTTCCATAATGATTCATGAGAATTCACAATATAATGGAAATAAATAAATGATAATATCTTTTAAAAACAAAAATTTGCTATAAAATACATTTTATGCAATTGCTTAGTTTGCTCTAAAAAGTCATTCTTAATTTTAGTTTTAGAAACTTCATCTGATTTTTTCTGTAATTTTAGAAATTTAAGTTATAATTTACATTTGAATAAAAGGAAGCATTTAATAGTACTTTTTAAAGAAAAACGAGTCATTTTTGCATTTATTACTCAAACTTTCATTGTTTGGAAAGAATTTCTTGAAATACAGCAAGACAAAACAATGATAAGAATAAATTCAAACAGACTAACTTTGAGACTTAATAAATAACAATATCAATTTACCATAGTGATTTGTTTTAAAACAATAATACTTTCAATTTTAAATTACAACAATTAATTTCAACATAAATATTCACATGAAGATCATATCCTTGAATATTATTCTACACAGGTGACTTATTTACTGAGTACAAAAAAATTACGAGGAAAAATGTGGGTATATAATGCATAAAAAGGAATTTTATGTATAAAATACACTTATAATAAACGATTAAAAAATTAAATATAAAACATCTATTAACATAGAACCTATAAAATAGTTCATAAGCAAGGAAATATTTGCTTGAAAAAATAAATAATTTTTTCATGGAATGTTCTAATAAAATTTTGACATTATTTACAATAACTGAGCATTCATAATAGAAAGTTTGAGTATTATAATTTTCTTCTCTGTCGCTGACTTAATCCCTCAAAAGTAATATCAAAGTACGACAAAAGAGAAAACTATTTACGAAGAAATTAAAAACTATTTTTAAAATTTAAAACAGTGAGATTTTTCTCCGTAACTTTTATGAAATCCTTTCAACAGCTGAATAGAGAGCAACAATATATAAATATATAAGTAATGACTTAACAACATTTTAAATACAATGTTTTGTTTTCCAGATTACATTTTACAATGGTTCTATTTTTCTATTTCTTCAAAAAGCAAAGATTCCAAGACAAATTTCATCATTTTACGAGCTTCTTCTGTCTACTTAAGAAGATTTCAAAATAATTCTATGTTTTTATATATGTATTTATATATCTTTCTATCATCGTTCTAAATTCCATGCTAGACCATATTAATTTACTTTCTGAACTCTTCAATAAGACCAAAAATATTGCTGGTAAAATTTCTAGATGTTCTAGCTCTTTCCAGTATTGCTTTAAAGTCCTACATTGTCTCGAGCTTCGAGCATTCAGAATAGCCTTTGAATTACTGACTCTATATTTTTCGTATCATGGACGTAATGTATGCTAATATATTGCTTCAAACGTCTGTATGTTCGTTTGGATGTAGTTGCTCCGTTAGGCCATCAGTAGGAGTGACTCTCTCCAAAACAGAAGGATTCTGTAATGAAATATCAAGTTTTAATTTTTAGTATTTGCAACATTTAAGATTTAATTATTTTCCTCCTACGCTGAATTTTCGTTTCATTTTGTAAAAGTACATTTCTGAAAAATAATAAAATGGTTCCCTTTCAAAAAATAATGGTCCCCTTACAACTATCTAATATACAGGGTGTTCCAAAATTCTCTTTACAACTTCAGAAATTCATAACTTCGAAAATAAACAAGATATTTATATTCTGTCTTTTGCATGTATTACTGCAACTAATAAAGTTTTGTTTAGTACACTTCAACATGCGCACCATTGGTGGCCCTAAGCACTTCCAGTCTGTAATCAATTTCAAGCTAGGTGATGTAAAGATAATTTTGGAACACCCTGTATTTTGATAGCATCAATTAAAGTTAGACACCACATTAATACATTATTTTGTAATGTTATTACGAAATGGCGGTAAGGTACAAAAATAAAATTTTTTAAAAAATGTTTCTAGCTATTTTCAAGCTACTATTTAAATTTCAAATTCTTGAAAAGCAACAGTTTCAAATGAGCTATTCACTTGAAACATATATTTATACATATATATATAATATATATACAAAAGTTCAAAATGAAGATAAAACAAAAGAGAATTATAGACATATGCAAAAGGGGGGGGAAATAATAATGAAAAAAATAATAAACAACTGTTTAAAAAAAAAAGGATGAAATTATTTAAAAAAGCCGAAAAATAAACGATATAATCTATTTATAAGCCCACACGATTATATCCGCAAGAAAGAGTGCTTTCTGATATTGTATCAATATAGCCAAAGCGTGCAAGGAGCACTCACAGAAAAGTTTTTTACAAAAATTACAACAAATAAAATAGAACACAATAAGTAAAAATAACACGTAAAAACAGAAAGTAAAATAAAATAAAAGGAAATACTTTTACTAAGAAGAAATAACTTTCTTCGTGTTTTTTCTTGTATATATATATATATATATATATATATATACGCCGGTTTTCTATAGAATGACAAACGCTATTTAGGCAAAATATGAAAAGAACGTCCTGATGAGGTTATTATGTAAATGATGTGCATTTCTCAAAAATAAAAATGCAATTCATAAAAAATATTAAGAGTGCCATAAAAAAATTTATTCAAAATGCGTAAAGAAAAATTAAGGTTGTGCAAAACATAATTTATGCCGTTCTTATTAAGGAAATTAAAATTTCCTTATAAAAATAAGAAATTAATGACATTAGCCTACTTGTTGCAACATGCAGGCTTAAATGACATTTTAACTTACATTTCATTTAATTACGAAACGAACCGGAGATGTATTTTATACTATGCATATATGACTCGCCCGTCTCGAAGAGGTTAATCGTCTACATGTTCGTTTGGATGTAATTGCTCCGTTAGGCCACCAATAGGAATGGAGGGATGCTAATGACTCCGATTTCTTCAAAAGTTTTAATAAATTTATAGAATAAAGATAATTACTCCCACTCTTTAAAAGTGTCTATAAACTTAAGCAACAATAAAGTTGCCGTTGACATGAAACTTTGAATATTTTATAATGAATGGTGGGAAAATTACTTAAAATGAAAAATACTAAACTGAACCTTTATATATTTTTTTAAAAGAGTGGAGCAAGTTGGCCTGCTAGGGAGTGAGTCACTCCAAAATCGAAAGATTTCTTCTAAAGCAAATAAAAATGGCTTTAAAAGAAATAAATATCAGCGTAAAAAAATCCTAGTAATGTTTTTGTAAAGACTAGGACTAGGAATCATGTGTTACTGGGCTCCTGGGGCCTCGGAGCTGCCTGTATTCCATTCATCTTGAAGTTGCTGTATCATTGAATTGGAATCGGTGGTTTGAAAAATTGTTTTTGTTAAATTCAGAGGAAGTTAAATTTAAACATTTCTTATTTGAAAGATTCTCCCCGATCTTAAAAAGCTTAAAAACTGTTAATAAAAAAGGTAATTGTAAACGAGTGTAACCACCGCTACATATAAATAATTACAACAAATATATAAAAGCACAATAGTATATACGATAGCGAATTTCAGCCTGTATAAAAAGTATTTGTTTTCGAGTAAAATTGTTTTTCGGTAATTGTTTTATTACTGCTTGGAAAATCCTGTCTCAAAAAGAGTGAAAGTTGGCAGGTTTGCAACTTTCTTCGGACAGAGGATGAATAATTTTAGGTGGAAGTCTTTCAATGTATGATTCTAGGTTTAGTAAATTTGATTTAAAGGGTTTTTACCAACGCGTCCCTTAACGGAAGGCCTCCTCACGGTTTCTTATAAGTAGTCCGATCAGATCACTATGAAGGTAAACCAGTTGATGAAAACTATTTAATAGAAAATCTAGTAAAAATAAGAAAGTGGTAGCAAATATATGTCTTTTTTTTTAAATTTTTCAATATGATTGGTTTGTCTTATTTACTAGTCAGCCACTTCAGATTCAATTCTCAAATATATATAATGAATTTCTCTCATTTACTTTTAAAATGGAATGTTGGTTCATGCACACATATGGTTAACTTTTTTAAATAGTCTGAACAGACTACTTATAAAATACGTGCGGGGGCTTTTTGATGAAAGAGGTGATGTTTTTACTCATCACTAATTCTACATAAATCTAAAGCTTATGCATACCCATGGGTGAAAGCCCTTATATAGCAAGACGGAAAAGAGAAAAACCTGGTACGTACAACATTTCATTCCAGCATTGTTTTCGAAAAAAATGAAATATCTGTAACTATCAAGATTTCTTTTATAATTCTGGCATATATATAAAACTGCTTCTTTTCCAAGATAAAGTAGATATTGTTAAAAAATTTAAAAAAAGAATAAGTAAACTCCTCCCCAAAACTAGCTATAACTGAAATGGTTTTACTACCAGCCTTTCATCTTTTCCGTCTCACTTTCACCCCTGTGCATACCTGCCATCTTTAACGCATTTGGCGTAAAATTTTATTTTTATATTTAAAGTGGTGGTAAATATAAACTATTTTTCTCTTATCAACTTAATTTTTAAATGATTTTGATCACCACTATTCTTGAAAAAATTAAGCATATATATTAATATGTGTTACTATCATGTTTGTCAGCTTAAGATTTTTCAAATACGACGTATTTTTTTTTTTTTGCTTAAAATTGAAATTTTAATACCATATTAATACCACTGGGAAAAATCATAATGGAAGGGATTAACAGTTGGCAGATATGCTTATGAGATGCGCAACTTTGTTACAGTTAAACCGTCACCTGCGAAGCCCAATATGGGGGGAGGCGAGGCATAGGAATGATGTAGTCTATTCCGGTTTTAGTCATTGATTTTGATTATTTGCAAACTTGTACTTCCTTGTATTATCTCATTCGATCTACTACTTGTAAATATTTAATTGTCGTTCTAGTATATACATATTATATTGCAAGGGGTGATCAAATGAAAAGGTACGAAACGACAAGGTGGCATACCCTCCAACTTATGAGGATTTTGAAAATAATTCTTTCTAGTGGTAGCGAACCAAAGTAGAAATTTTTAAAGCAAATGGATCTCTCATAAAACTTTTATCAGAACTTAAGAATCTAGCCATATGGCCTGCACTTTTATAAGTAATAGTGGACAAGTTACGCTAAAATTAATTTTTTTTAAATATTAAGACATTAATTTTGCTACCGTCTGAAAAGAAGATTTCTGAAACTACGGAAATTCCGTAGCAGTTGGAGGGTATGAGGTGGGTACAAATTCAGACTTCATTCAAAATATACACCATGGGCCTGAGCACAACGATCCTACTGATGAACAAGCCGCAGGATTCCTTGTTCCCAGAATTCTTGTGGCTGTGACGAGACCCAGTCCTTCACAGCGTCCTTGAGTACGTCGTCCGAGTTGAAGCGCTTCCCTTTCAGGTGTTTCTTCAGAGGACCAAACACATGGAAATTGCAGGGTGACATGTCCGGACTGTAGGGAGGATGGTCCAACTCCTCCCACTTGAACTTGGCCAGTTCCATGTGTGTGACTCTGGAGACGTGTGGACGCCCGTTATCATGGAGCAGAACCACACCCTCTGTGAGTAGCCCCGGTCTTTTGTTCTTGATGGACCTGTGTAGGCGTCGGAGTGTCTCACAGTACACATAGGAGTTAATGGTTTTTCTGTTCTCGAGTTTCTGCTCCTCATACGAAACTGCCGCATCATTTGGACGCCGCTTTTGATAAGAGCCCCTGCTCTCTCCTGCGCATGTGGGCGCCCGCGCATGCTCCCATCTCAGTCAGAGACTCTAATCGCATCCCGAGATGTCTCGCTACGTTCTCCCATGGCGGAATATGCAAATATTTAACTGTAACGTTTTTACGTCGTTTCATATCTTTTCATTTGATCACTCCTTGCATATTACTCGGAGTTTTTCCTGTTTTTGTTGTATATAATTCACATTATTGTACTTTTAACTCAGGCTTTATTCATTCGCTGCCTATGGCGTTGCCTTAGTTGAAGAGGCAGGTACCGTGAAGCAGACAACCAGAAATTTAATTTTACATTAAAGCATTACAGTTATGTTGTGTTGAACTTATAGTTTGTTCTCTTTTGTTGTACTACCAATTTTAGTTCGTTCTCTACCGTTTTTTAACAGATTTTGTCGAATACGGAGCAGTTGGATTCTCTGACTTGGTTTAAACAAATATGTACTACCACCTTTTTCAGGTCATAGTTTTTTATATATACACCATTTTACGTGCTTGTTTATGAACTGGGTAACGTGAAGTTCGTAAGTAACGTTAGTATTTTTACATTGTTTTAGAAGATGAAAAGTTGTGTTGTGATACAATAAACAGTTTACACAATAACATGCATGCTGTTATACAATAACAGTTCTGCCTCCGCAAGAAGATAAGTTTGGGGTCAGCTTGTACCATTGCTTTTAGATATTTTTAAATTTTACCTTTTAAATTTAAAAATGAAACTTCACTTTTTAAGTAATAATTTCGATAATAAAATAATGC